GGACTTTGACTTTAGTTGGGGCAACAAATAAATATCTACTGAAGAGCATAATATGGCCATTAATGGAGAGAATCAGAGTGCTACACAGAGTGAAAAAAAAATCAGTTTAGTATCTTCATCATTCATTATTACCACTGTGGTCATCTTTACTGCTGTTCACAAATATCGCCTGCTCTTCACATCTGGGGCCCATGCAGGATGATGTGTCCCTGCTCCCTTTGAAACGAAGCTAAACCATCTCACCTACGTTGGCCAATGACATGTCAACAGAAGGGGAGCGAGGCACATCTTGGCAGAAACTTTCAGAGTTGGGCACTACTCTCCATCTTCTCCTCCCCCAGCACAGCAATAGTGGAAGCACATATGAAAATAAGGCTCTGGGGAAAACAATACAGGATCCAGAAGCCTGGGTTCCAGGATAAAGCATGGGGAGCATGAGGCACGTGTGGGCCCTGCTGAGACGTGGGGGTGGTTTGTTACAGGAGCCTACCCTCACAGACCGCCATGTCCCTATGAGCCCACGTGACTGGACCCGTCCGCTGCAAAGGCACATCAAAGGACTTGTGAGGGAGGGCATGAGTGAGCTGGAGGGTCTCTGGAGTGAAAAGGAAACAAGATTCTAGTCTCTCTTCAGTCACACACTCTGCTACTTTCTTTCAGAGATATTCTCCACGGGGACACTCTGAAAAAACCACTCGGTTTCCAAAATCTGAGTTAGGAAGCCCACCTTCCTGCCTTCTATGTCTCTATCTCCTGCCCTGACCTGTGAAGAAAATATCTTCGTGCCTCGCAGAAACTGTGCTCAATATCAGGGCTGGATACTGGGTGCAGTCCCACATGCTAACCAGACCCAGTGGAACAAACAGGGCTTCCTCTCGCTGCCTGGGATAGCTCCACCCTCGGCTCTCTCACCTCCCCGGTAAGAATCCTCAGCTTCCAGCCAGGGTCGCCTCCCACAGGCCCTAAGCCTCCAATCTTCCTGCTGTCTCCACTCCCTGGCCCGCCTCCCCTTCTCACTTCTGGGTGCTCAAAGCCTGTTCCCATCCACCTCCTCCAGAAAGTGCCACCACGGACTCCAGCCCACTCTGTCCTCCTCACCCCACCAGCTCTGCACCCACTGGACACCCTGTCAGAGGATGAGTGTTACCTCGTTCATCTGTCCAAGTGTGGTCACTTCAAAGGAGGGGTGGATGTCTGAACCTTGATGCCCTCATTTGTGACACGGGGTCACAGCTCTGACCACCCGCGGGTGAGATGATATATCTAAAGCACCTGTCTTGGTGCCTGGCACATAAAGGTGCTCAAGAAATGGGAGACTCCTCCCAGCTCCTCTTCGCCATAAGGAAGTCTGAGCGTGGAGGGTGGGGCCAGCTCTTCCTTCCACCAAGAAAGCCCACAAGTGCCCCCAGAGATGTGTCTAATGCACGTATTCTCAATGGGGGGTGTTATCTCCTCTGGGGGGAGCAAAAACTGGTATTTGGGGGGTGTAAAAATCCCTCACTCCTCTTGGGTGTAAGTTCAGATGTAGACGTAGTACCTAAACAGATAAACAGTGTGTCTGTGACATCAAAATTTCATTGGGGGGTGGAGGTGATGATTAGGGAAAAACAAGTAAGAAACGGCTCCATAGGCAGGCAGGCAGCAATGAAAAAGTGGCTGAGAAATGCTAGTCTGATGTGACCTCCAATCAAAAAACAGACAGCCCCTCTCATGCCCATCTCGGCTGAGCCCATCTCTTACATTTCCTCTCCCAGGTCTCTTCCAAATCAATAATACGATATTTTCGAAACTTCTGTCAAATCCACATTCACTCCTCCTCCGCTCCTTCACTTATCTAATCCGCTGCCTCTCCTGGGATGGGAGCTGTGCAGCTGGCTGCCAAGGAGGCAGGCTGTGGAGAGCTGGGAGACTCCAGCCTTGGTTTTCCAGACATGACAGACACAGACACGACGGTGTTCATCCCGCCTCCAGCAGCTGCAGGGCAGGAAGGAGCTGAGCGCCCCCCGCCGCTCAGCTCTACCGAGAATGAGATCTCCAGTCCAGGCTCACTTGCAGCTTTCACAGGTGCTCAGTAAGCACCCCCTGGGGTGGGGTGAGGCTTACTGGTGGGTGTGGGCTTCAGAATAGGGCAGACACCAAAGCTGGGCTCACCCAAGGTGGATCCCTGCCTGTCCTAGAGGCTTAAAAGCTGCAAAAGCACCCCTCTTGCAGCTCTAGATCGTCATGTCATCTGCTCTGCATGGGAGGAAGGCTGATAAGAAGGAAGAGGAAACGGCTTAACGTGATGCGGCTCTTCCCCGTTTCTTTCTAAAATACACACAAAGTCTGATGCCGCCCATTCATCTTAAGAACATGGGGGAAAAGCCAAGAGAATCTTAACCTAGAGAGGTCCACCTTGACATGATAGAGCAGCTGAACTACCAGCAGCAGCCTCCAATGTCTAGACTTCTTTTTGTGCGGAAAAATGCTTCTCTCTGTTGGTCCCCAAAAGCATCTTATGTAACAACAGTGCTCAAAGGTGAGAGGCATAATACTCTCTCATGCACCTTTCCTGAAGTCTCTTTGCAAACATATCTCGACTACAGAAGAGAGTGTCACAGGCCTCCCAGTGTGTGGGCATGCAGGGGGGCTCAGAGGTGCTCTGCCACACTGGCCACACTCCTGCGGTCTCAGTGTCCCTGCAGGGGAATAAGCATCTGGGCTTTGCAGTCATGTGGACCCAGGTTCTAGTCCGAACTCCCTACCAAAAGCTGTGTGACCTAGAGGTAAGGTGTCTGACTTCTCTGAATGCCTTTTTAAAAAAACCATTTAAAAAGTGGAGACTAGTACTTATATCATAGTACTGTTGCAAAGATCAAATGAGATAATATGCAAAGCGCTGATCCCGGGCCTGGTACACACTCGGCAGCTATCGTGTTGACTTTCCACTTTCCCTCCTGTGAGTCTGTCTGTCTTGAGTCTGTCTCACTGACTCTTTTTCCAAGGGTTTTCTCACTGCCTGGTCTCTCTCTAGCTCGCTCCCTCTCCATCTCTCTGTAGGTGTCTCTGTCTCTCTCTGACTTTTTCCCCTTCTCCCCTACTCCCATTCATTTTCACAGTGGAAGGACAGGGCAATGTGCCAGGTTTTCCGAGTTTCCTGAAGATCTCATTCCTTGCAGGCAGAGCATCAGGTCCCCATACAGGACAGGCCCTGGCTCTCGTTGTCACTACTGGGTTTGGATGAGGCTGTGGGCTCGACAGAGGCCAGTGGAACCCAAGGACCTGGGGCCCTAAACCTCTAGGAGGCCATCATGACCTCCCTTGAGAGTGGATTTCCCAGCTGTGCCTCATCATATCTCAGGAGGCCCAGAAAGGGCAGCGGTGAAGGGCAGGAAAGGACTCAGAGGTAGAGCCCTGATCAGACTCTGACCCTAGATCAGACCAAACTGCTAGTGCTTTCGGGGACCTCATGGTCCCATCCACACACACACTGTCTCCTGGGAGTTCATCAGGGACAAGAAATGGGTCCACTTTAAAAATCAAACAGTAAACAACTCCAAGGAAATGGTTAGGGGAAGGTTGGTTTGTTAATTTTCCAGAAGATGTGCTGATGGAATCCTGCCCTCTTCCAGGTCATGGGAAAGCCCTTCCCAGACTCTCAGCCATAGTTCTTCGGATGTGAGTCCCTCAGACCCCGTGTTCCTAAGTGCCCATGAAGGGGCGGGAGGTGTGACATCCTGAGGGGACAGGTTGATTAAGGATAAGGGCTCTCAGTAGAGGGGGGACAGGCTGGTGAGAGAGGGTCTGCTGCACCTCCCCAGGAATCATGCTCCCTTCCAGGCTAGATCTGAGAGCTTTGGAAGGAGTCAAAGCATCCTTGGACTCCACTCCTAACTCCCTTTCTGGCCTACCCAGGATTCCTTAGCTGAACTCAGAACAGTATGGCCAGGACAATTCCTCCTCTCAAGAAGCTTACTGCTGCAAATAGAAAGCAAAATCTATATACATTAACTAACCCACCTTGCAGAGGCCCTTCTCTCTGCCTACCTCTCTAGGCCTCCACCACACCCAACTTCCCTCTCTGGTGAGAGAAACAACTCACCCAGAATAATGAACAGCACTGACATCCCCAAGCACTTACTGTGTTGGTGCTGTTTGTTCTAAATGTTTTTCATGTTGCAAACAGACTTACCTTATGATCCAGCAATCCCACTCTTGGACATATATTCAGAGGAAACTCTAAATTGAAAAGATAGATGCACCCCAATGTTCACATCAGCTCTATTTACCAGAGCCAGAACATGGAAACAACCTAAATGCTCATCAACAGATGACTGGATATAGAAGATGTGGTATATATGTACAATGGAATATTACTCGGCCATAAAAAGAATAAAATAATGCCATCTGTAGCAACATGGGTGGACCTGGAGATTGTCATTCTAAGTGAAGTAAGCCAGAAAGAGAAAGAAGAGTACCATATGATATCATTCACACGTGGAATTAAAAAAAAAAAAGACATGAATGAACTTATTTACAAAACAGAGACAGACTCACAGACATAGAAAATAAAACTTATGGTTACCAGGGGGAAAGGGGGTAGGAAAGGATAAATTGGCAGTTTGAAATTTGCATATACTAACTACTATATATAAAATAAACAACAAGGTCCTACTGTATAACATAGGGAACTATATTCAATAACTTGTAATAACCTATAATGAAAAATATGAAAAGGAATATATAATATGTATAACTGAATCACTGTGTTGTACACCAGAAACTAATACAATATTGTAAATCAACATGACTTCAGTGAAAAAGAAAAGAAAAAAATACTTTTCATGCACTAACTCATCAAATTTCCTCAATAACTTAATGAATCGGCTCAAGCCACCCCTAGGCTTGAACACGCAGACTACAAAGGGCTGGCCATGGAACGAATGTTTCCTGCTTGGTCTCACAAAATGTGAACGGTGCTATTATCACAGGAGCCAAGGCGGCTTGCAAACTACAGAGGTGACACGAGGTAAATTCATTTCCTTCCCGTCAAGAGAGACTCACAAGGGTATAATCAGAAGCTAATGTGTGTGCCTGCGATGGGGCGCTTCGCAGGGGCCGCACGTAATTGAACGAGCCCTCTGTGCCCAGAGGAGCAGAGCAAAGCCCATCACTGGAAAGTGTCACTCATCAGGCTGGCGTATGTCAGGTTTTAATAACATTATGGAAATATTGCTGAAGGACAGAGGAAAGGACAGGGCCTTGAGGGTGGGGCCCCACTGAGCCTTGGAGAGCTTCAACCTTGAGAAAAGGACCTTCCGCCCTCATCTGGGTCAGTCACGTTTCTCGGGGAGAAAACTTTAGGACTGAGGGTCACTGTGGCTGTACCTTCTACTGAATGGACCCAAGGGCCTCTAGGTGAGCAGTGAGGCCAGGTCTCTAGGCTACGGGAGGGGTGGCCAAGGGCCCAGATAGGGGACAGGCCCTTCTTCTGCCCTGACAATTGGTAACAATGATAATACTTACATGCCCCTTACCATGAGTAAGGCACTTTTCTGAGTGTTTTACATGTATTAACTCACTTCATCTGAAAAACAGTCCTCGACAGTAGGTACCATTACTCTCCGACTTTATAGGTAAGGAAGTTGAGGCCCAGATGAACCTGGCCAAGGTCATACAGCTAGCATGCTGTACTGAAGCCTGGGCAGTCTGGCTCTGAAGGCCACCATCCTGACCATTCATTCGACTGCCTAACGGGTCAACACGGCCGAGCCCTGAGGAAGGGGAGGGGGGGACAGGAGAAGTGGAGGGAGAAGGGGAGGTACCTTCCTGACAATTGACATTCACTCATTCCCATATTTTTCACTTTTTTTTAACTGAATGGAAGATTTTAAAATTCTATAGCTTTACAGTTTTTTAAAGTTTCACACACATGATTTCATACAATTTCCTAATAACCCTTTTCCCTCTTCACCCCACCCCTATATTGTTACCCCTCCCCCTTTCCCTCTCCCCACTGGCAACCACTCGTTTATTCTCTGTATCTGTGGGCCTGCTTCTTTTTTGTTTTCTTCATTCACGTTCTTATTGGGCATCTTCTTTGCACCAGACTCTGCTCCAGGCACCAAGGAGACGGGAGATTATAGTGAGAGGACACAGATAATATATATAAACACATAAATAAGCTAACATCATAGAATGGCAAATTCAATAAAGGACGTAAAGCAGGAAAGTCAGAGAGAGAGAGATCAGGCAGGAAGAGGCAGGGAAGTTATCTCCAGAGAGGGAAAGTTAATGTTAATAGAAGCAGGCCTATCCAAGGCTGAATAATTCATTGGCAGAGCTGTTTGAATGCCTACAAAATGCAAGGAGTTACAAGTCCTTGAGGCCCAGGGAAGCCAGGAAGTTAGAGACCCACGAAGACAGAGGGATAGGGGTTGGCTCTGCTCACCCACCCACCCTGGGGCCCAGGCTGATGGAAGCTCTGCTGTCTTGGACCATCAGAAGCATCCACCTTTCCTGGTGCTGTCACAGGAAAAGGGAGCAACTAGAGCACCTCATGTGGGCATCTCCTGCCTCGGCCCGGAAGTGATGCCTGCCTCCCAGGTTCCCCCATCCCTCTTAAGCACGGGGGCTGGGAAAGGTACAGGAACCACTGGAACTTTCTGTGAGCCTTCCTGTCTCATCCACAGGCCCAAAGGGGACACCAAAGAAGACAGCAGAGATGCGTGAGGGCTCACGCCCTAAGAGGCGGAACCCAAGCCAGGTTGAGTGGAAAGCCAGAAGTCTGGGAGCCCAGAGTTAATAGGTTTTTCCAAATGAATGGCCCTTTATTCCTGTTCAAGGAGGTGAGCGGATCAGGTAAAGGAAGCCGGGTGAAAAGGAAGATTAATCCATCCACCAAGGACCTTTGGTACTGAAAACATGAAAAGATGAACTCATTTGTGAGCCATAATGATTCACTACCGGGAGAAATAATTATCTTGAAGATTGTTTGGCCCCAGAAACAATCTTTATTTAACTGTATTTATTTTTGGCTGCTCATCCTGCTTGCTTCTCTTGGAAACTTACGGAATGCTTTCTCCCTCCCTGTGTGTGTGAGACTGTGTGTGTGTGAGAGAGAGAGAGAGAAATTAAAAACACTTGCTTATTTCATGTTTTTCAACAGAATGACCTTTGTGTGGTTCTTTCCCTCCCCACCATCCTCTCAATGGATTATTGGTCCTTACCCCTAATCATTCACTGCCCAGTATTCTTGTTTCCTTAGAGCACTTATCACTATCTTAAAATATTTTATCAGCTTATTTGTTGGTTTTGTTTTGTTTTGTTTGCTTTGTTTTGTTTTGTTTTGTTTTGATAATCTGGCCCTCCACTGGAATAGAAGACAGCTAAAAACAGAGACCTTGCCTGTCTCCACTGTCTGGATCACAACACCAGACTAGTGAACAATCATGGAATAAATGAACAAAAAGCTACTAACAAACACATGTAGCTTGTGATCTCTTTTAGTCCTTATTAAAACCTCAGTTTGTTATTACTGCTTATTCCCATTTTGCAAATGAGAAAACTGAGGCACAGAGCATAATTAAGTAACTTGCCCAAGGTTACAAAGATAGTAAATAAAACAGCCAGGATTTGAACCCAAGCAGCCTGGCTCCAGAACCCATGCTCTTTTGACTTAGGTATTTAAGAAATATTTGTCTATTGAATGAGTGAATATTGAATGAATGACCACCTTGGGTTTCCTGCTGTCCTTCTCAACTTTGTTTTCAACTTTTACTGGACCTCCTACACACCAGGCATGGTCCTAAATTCTCTACATGTATTACTGGGTTGACCCCTCACATCTATGCTGCTCTCCCTGGCACTGGTCCCAAGTCTGGCACTTAGAACTGAACCTCATTGTCCAGCTCAGGTCTCCTGGCCCTTCCTTTAGCAGGTGGTACTGCCCTGATCTGAAACCACGGACTCAGTTCCTTCAGAAAGAAAACCCCAACCGAAGATTCAGGGGGAGTGCCTTTCCCAAGAAGCATGTGGCTGACCTTCTGTCCAGAAACGGGTCTCATACCTGTGTCCACCCTTCAGCCCAAGAGACCAAGGCAAAATAAATATCAATTGCCAGGTGCTAGCATGGGAAGGAGGGAAGGAAGAAAGCAAAGGGTTTTTCCTACTAAATTGGCTCTAAGAGCAGAGAAGAACCATGGTGGGTTATTAAGGGAGCATCATCATACAACACGGGTCTTCAACTCCCAGTGAAACGCACCCCACCTCTCCCTCCTGAGCCCCTACAGCTGACTCTGTGAGTGATTGTGTGAGGTCCATCCACACACATCATCTATCATCGTTCTCATCCATAACAGCTTTATATCCGCACCCTGAACAACACCTGGCACACAGTGGGTGCTCAGTCAATGCTGACTGGATGAATGAATGAGGGAGGCAGCCCTGCTCCTTTCCTGCCTTGGCTCTGCCTTCATCCCTTACCCTTATGAATGCACAGCTGCAGATGGCTTCATCTCCCCTACCCCCTACCCAAATCTTGGACACATTCATGGACTGATCACCTGTGGGTATGTACTCCTCTTCTCTACAGGGATGCTTACAGGACCAAGCATCCTGAGCCAAGCAAGGTAGAGAGAGTAGGCATATCCTGGGAAAACATGATTCAATCGAACAATGGTAATTTCTATTCCCTATGATCAACCCTGAAATGTGAGAATACTGCAGTAAATCTTCTTGCCCAATTGTGGGTCTTTATAGACTCAGGCCAACACCAAGTGATGCTCCACTGACCAATTTAAAACCCAGTCGTGCAAAGCCAAGTGTGTTTTCATGTCCAGGAAACAAAAACATTCCAACTGCTCAGCACATTCAAGTCAATACTCCCTTAATAACCCACCTTGGTTCTTCCCCTGGACTCTGAAAGCCACTTGAGCAGGAAAGGCATGCTAGTAATCTTGGACTCTCCCTTGTTTTCCATCCCTCCTCCTATTTTAGTGTCTTATATCTGTGCCTCTGATCATTTGTTTTGCTTTTGTCCCTGAGGCTGAAGGGCATCCATGGTTTTGAAGTCATTACCTAGAGTTTATCTGGAGAATTCATATGAGGAACTTGTGAAAATTCTCTCTCATTGTCCTGCACTGCTTTGGGTTCTTCCCCAATCAGCTGGAAGACTGGCTGGGAGGTTCCTCAGTTCATCTTGCAAGAAGCTGTCTCTTCTGATCACCTGGACTGTTAAGTAGGTAAATGGGCTCATTGGGTTTCCAGATCCTGTGCTGTGACACAGGCTCTAACCTGGCCAAGCACACACATACGAATGGGCCTCCGTCTCTGATGGCACTGCTGGACCAGAGACCAGAGCTGGTGCATCCCTCCTGGAGAAACAGCACTCTGGCCTTATTCTCCTGGCTCAGGGACAGTGTCCTCAAGCCCACATGACAGCACTGTCCCACACAGTCATGACTAAAATATCCACTGTCAGTCTGCCCTGCAGCCCAAGGAGCATGGCCAGTATGCTGCCATACAACTCTAAAGAAGAGGAGTGGGGAAGGTGTTTCTGCACAGAGCAAGGCTGCTGGGGTTTCAGTCTCAACTTCACAATCTGTGGCCTCATGCCCTTGAGCAAGTCACTTAACTGCACAGAGCCTAAGTTTCCCCACCTGAAAAATGAAGAGGACAGATCTCTGGGTGGTGTCGTGAGGATTACATGAGATCAGGTGTGTAAAGCAGCCTGGGGCAAAGTTGACGCAGAGCGTCACTGTGTACCAAGATTTACTGAGCCCTAATGATATGCTGGGTCTTGTACACAGTGTCATTAGCCTCAAGGTGTGGATAAAACCTGGGTATCACCTTTTTTGTTTACAGCAGAGGAGACTGAAGATCAGAGAAGTCAAGGGACCTGCACAAAGGCAAGGAGCTAGCGAGGGGTGGAATTCGGATCTGAACCTGGGGCTCCCTCACCATGCAGATGGTGAATCCATGGGGAAGGCGTCCCCTATTGGAGCTAACACCAGGCCCCGATCTCTGGGTCCCCATCAAGGGCAAGTTGACAGGGAGCTCTACAGAGACTCGGAGCCAGCCAGCCTGACTTGGAGTCCTCCATGGGTTCTGTGATTTAGGACCAGTCTCTCTAGCACTCAGGTATGCTTGGCTTCCTCTGCTATAAAACCGGACAACTGGGGTTTCCTTGTCAGGTTCCCATCAGGCTTCAATAAAACCATGGTGCTTTGCCATCTTTCACCCAGGATGGGATTCTTATCCTATTCCATGCTCTGGGACATGAAGACAAGACAATAACAATACTCAGCACAGTGTTAAAAGCCTTTAGAAAATAATTAATACGAATAATAGCAGCTAACAAATAGAGGCCATATTTTTTATTTCAGGAATTGTGCTGAGAGCCTAACTAAAGCACTTAATCCTCATGACAACGCTATAAAGTAGGTACTCTTCATTATCTGCTTTTACAGATGAGGAAACTGAGGCCTGGCATGGTTAGGTAACTCGCTCAAGGGCACAGAACTAGATACTGAAAACTTACAACCTTGCTGTTCACCTGGCTGCACCTGAGCTTTATTCAAAGGATGAGTCAGTCTAGGGGAGCAACATCAGGACCCCAGCATCGTGGTCTCACTGAGAATCTCTGGGATAAGCAGAGGCAAGCTCGTCCAGGTCACTTTACTCCAGGACTTCCATGATCTTTAAGATGTAAATGCGCATGGAAATCATCAAGAAGGAGTAAGGGTATGCAGCCTTCCCAGAACGCGAGGGGAACCAGTATGCTGGAAACATGATGACAGAAATACTGCATCTGAGCCATTTACTGTAGATAGAACAGTCTCCCATCAGCTGTTGGAAATACTAAGCAAAGACAAAAAGAGAGAGAAGGGAAAATGAATAGCCCTACGTCCTTCATCCTCTGTCTTTGGTCCTGTGGTCCAGATCTGTAGAAGTGTGTCTGCCTGCAGACCTGGACACCCACAAGCCCCACAATGAATGGAAGACCCATGGAGACCCCAGCAAGGGGTGGCACCAGGGAAAGGAGGTCAGCCTGGCACACGCTGGGGGAGCAAAGGCCTTGGCCAGAGCCTGATGGGAATCACTGGCCTTTTTAACACAGGTGTGACATTCACCTGCACTGCTGGGACTCCTCTGGTGAGAAAGGATGTTTTTATATCCCTGATCTTATCCCCAGCAGGCTCCAGACATGTATTTCTGTAATTCCCTTAACTGATAAGTATGAAAAAGAGAATATCGAAGATTCTAATAGGGATCTGACAGAACAAGGGCACATTTATTAGCTGCTGAATTTCCCAATGACTCCCAGAAATTGCCACAATTAGACCAAATTAAGCACTTTTGTTCCAAGGACAGGTAGCCACTGTTCTTTAGGGTATATCTCCATATTGCTGGCCTTACAAAGGAAGTCCTGGAATTCCAGACAAAAGCAGCATCTCCTTCCCTCTTGCTCTCTGAACAAATCTAAAATCTAGAGCCAGATTCCTTGGAGCTAATTCTAAGTTGGGAAGGCTTTTCATAAGATTACTAAGATTGCATTGGCCTTTGAGGAGGAGTTCCTTTGCTCTGAAACTCACTTTCTTAATGCAATCATTGGAATTCTCCCCCACCCACCAGTGGTGGGGCAAAAGGGAAACATCCCTCCCATCTCTATGGTGGATACAGAGACTCAGAATGTTGCTCCCAACCCACTGGGTGAGTCAGCAGAGAAACTGAGTTCAATAGCTAAACTCAGTTCTCTTCCTCCCCATCATCCCTTTTCCCATATAAGAAACTGATCAGCAGTTCTTTGGCACATAGAGTCAATCTGAAAATCATTAGCAAAGTTTAGACAAGAGGTCACAGCTCTGGTTTCTTTTTTTCAGGTTCAGAACAAGAACAACGGTGATATTTTATGGAGCGTGGTGGTTAACTGTCTCTAAGACAGAGGCTACTCATTCCAACTCTCTGGAACTACAATCAACATTTTCAAAGAGCTTTAATCTTCCAGCAAGTCTTACATGGAATTACTGATATGCCCACTTCACAGATGAGACTACTGAGGCATTGTCATGTGACATATTACAGAGACGAGAGGCCTTGGAGGACAATGTTCATTCATCCTTGTGCAAGAGCTAAATGCACCTGCTGACACTATGCCTGCAGTTGTTTTGTTTCTGGTGACAGTGTGAGGGCCGAATGAGCACGGCAATCTCCTGAGCCTCGGTGGAGACCATGGCAGGGACTCCCAGGTGCCCAAGCCTGAGACTGCAAAGCGAGAGGTCCTGAAGCAGCCTGGATGAAGATTCAAGACTGACTAAGAAGCCTCCTGAGGGTCTTGGCAGCAGAATCCCTGCATGGAGCACACAGCCACTCTGAAGACAGGCTATGTGGAGGCCAGTGCTCAAAAATGCTAACTTTGCCTCGGAAACCATGAGCAAGTTCTCTGAGGATACACGCCACTGTAGAAAACACTCTATAGAGAATCTAGACCCAACCCCACCAGTGGCCTTGGATGAGTCCCTTCCCCTGCACTCCTGTCACCGCAGACCCTCCTTGAATTGGGCCAAGGAGTATGGGGTCACTCTCTCCTCTTCAGCTCCTCTCCCCCAATTCCAGGAGCAGCACCATGTCACTGTGATGACCGGAGGACACAACGCCCTCCCTGGTGACTGTGAGGACTTAGTGGGTGATGCTCCAGGTCACTCACTGGAAACATGGCTGACTAAAATGCTAGGGGAGGGTTTTTTTGAGGGGGGGATCAGAGGTTCAGTGAATGACACCCCTCCCTTTCTCTCCCTCTTGTCACACTCCACTTTTGTCTGCACTACACATTGGGTTCTAGCTATGGTGTCATTTGAACAAAGATTTTGAAGGACATCCTTCACCAAAAGAGTCTGAAAACCACTGGGATAAAGCTTCTGGGGGACTTTATTCAAAAGGCTGCAAAAATCTACAGAGATATTATCACATTTATTACTCTGATATTTTTAGAGTATTGTAAACCTTTTAAAAGCTTTATCAGTGACAGGAGTCAAGAAATTCTCATCTTAAGGTCATCAGTCTACTCTGAGGGGACTAAAGGTCAAAGGACACCAAAAAGGCCCTGAACATGTGTGGAAATCCCTAGGATGCCACAGTTAGCTCACGACTAGAAAGACATTTGGGGAGGATTAACCTCTTGTCCTGAGACCTCTGGTCTCTGGGTAATTCTACAGATGTCCTCTACCAGACGCCAGCCTAGCTGGTAAGCCTGCCACAGGCAATTTGGAACACACCACCTTCATACTCACTTAGAGGCTCTGGGCACTGCTGAATAAGCCCAGCCCAGACAGGACACTGGTCCTTCCCTGCACTGGGCTCTGACCCTTGGATCTCAGACCTTAGGAGTAGCCCTAGATGCTCCTGTGCTTTCTTGTTAGCCCAGACAGCCAACGCCACCTTCTGCTTTTCCTCCCTCTCAAGGACAGAAGGATTCAAGAAATCGTGTCCAAGGATGTGAATTAAAACTGCAAGCTGATTAAACTAGTCATTCTCAAGAATAGGTCTGGTCGATCTCTAAGAGATCCACAGATTTTTGCAAATTCATGCCATGATGTTTATCTCTTTGGGTCTGGTACTACTGAGTAATCTATGGGTAGCAACAAACAGCAGTAAACACCATCAAAAGCAAGTCTGGTCATTTCTGGTATATGCTTTTTGAGATGAATTAGTAGACTGGCTTGTCCACAAGTAGATTTGCCCATCAGGGTAATCCACAACCAAAAAATGTTACAGTTCAGATTGGAGATGAATAGTTAACAGTCTAATAGTTTTTCTGAACCACCTTGCCTCTCTAAGATAAGCAAGGTTCTACACTAGCTTTCTGGCCACAACCATACCAATAGGTTGAAACACATGAAATATGCTGTCCAAGTTCACTGTTTATGTTAGGTGACAAAATATGCATTTATATTTCTCTGTAAGAGGAAAAAACCCTATTTTCATGGAATGTTTGTGTTAGATCAGGGAACAATAGTCTCTCATTTCTCCTGGTATGCAGGTCTTTGGAAACTGCAGGGGAAATACACACAGAGTTTAAAAAGAGAAACAGTTAACATTTGTCATATTTTATAGCTACTTTTGTCACTAATACCCATGTGCCAGTTTCCTCTCGCTTTTTCCTTCATGCTAAATGCTGTCCAGCACAACTTTCTGTATTGATGGAAATGTTCTTTCTCTGTGCTGTCCAAGACGGTAGCCACTAGTCATTTGAAATGTGGCTAATGTGACTGAGTACCCGAATGTGTAATTTCAATATTTAAATAGCCCCACATGGCTAGTGTCTACCATATTAAACAGTGAACTGATCTAGAATTCAGAACCTTGGAGAGAGAGAGAGTTTGTGTGTGTGTATATGTGTGTATAAGATAAACACTGCTCTTTCTGTAGCAAGGATGGTTCTGTGCTCAGGGTCTAAGGAATATGCACAAGGGGGTTCCTGAAGTTCTAGGCTTCTTGCTGCTCTAAGGTCTTATCAAAAGAAATGCCTCCGTGCTCCCTCTGGGCGGTACAGCTTAACATCCATTAGAAAGAAGAGCACATGCAGATAGAGAAGTAACAAAGGGTACAGACACATCAGTGGCAAAATATAGATGCAACTTCGTAAAGTGGGAGATAATTCAGAAGGCGACAGCTCTCCCCGACTTAGCTGGAAAACCAAATGCCAAATGGGAAACATCAGTCTCTTCACATCCGTGGGAAACAATCCCCTGAATGCAGAATTAGGGCTTGGTGACTATTTCCTGATCCGGCCCTTTGTATTTTTCATGAAGCTTAAAGGAGATTAATGGGACAATCAGGATATTACAAATGAGAACCACATGCATTTCAAAAGAGGCTGTGACAAATGGCTGGGAAGCCTTCAGGCAGGGCGGGGGCGAAAAAAGGGAACAAGAACCAGACTGGGGAGCTCCCCAGCTTGGGTTCTACCTTGGTCCCACTAGTGAGCACCTGGCCAGGACACCCTGGGAAGGCATTTAACCCTCTCCTGAGACCCACCGGATGAAAGGAGCCCCGCCATTGAGCAGTTGTGAGGTCTGAGGCAGACAATATTGGTAGCAAGCACCCTAGAAATGATCAAGCTCTGTTCAGATGACTCACATTATTATTAAACAGCTCCATCAACATAATTATTATTAATAATGGCAAACATTTATCAGGTGTCTGCTATATGCCAGACAACACATACGCCATATCTCCAAGGCTCATGGCAACCCTACAAGACAGATCTAATTATCCTCACCACTAGTGCTCACTGGCTGCTGCTCCCAGTGCTTGCCACATATTAACTCATTTAATCCTCACAACAACCCTGTAAGGTGGTATCATTCTTATCTGTATTTTACAGATGAAACAACGAGGCCAAAGCGGTAACGTGACAGACATCACCCTCCTCACTAGAGTGGAAGGCCAAACCACAAGAGACTACATCAGAAAACCACCCCGTGAATGAAAGATCAGAGCCTGGTGACGAGTCCTGATCCAGGCCTAGTAACTGGTACAGCTGAGGTGTGAGCCCAGGCACAGCTTGTAAACGAGCCCAGACTCCAGCAGTCTGGCTACCACGCTCGTCTTCACCCCGACACCATACTGCCTCTTAAAAAGTGACGGCACCGGGTCTGCCTGCATGCAACTATTCAGCCTTCCTGCAGCCATCCCATCTCAGTTATAATCCACAATCCGCCACCTCTTGGATATTTCTTCCTCTCACCTGGGCAGAACATCTTGCAGAAGCCCCCTCTATTGCCATTCTGTGGCTGAGAATACACTTAGAACCCCAGTAGGAAGGGTAGGGTGGTGGTCTTGGAGGTGGGGAAGAGTTTTAGAAAATTTTTTGACCTCCTTTGAGAGCTTGTTTGGAGGTTCTAGCAGGGGAGCGCAGCTACTCGTATACCCTTGACCGAGAAGAATGGTCCTCCTCTATCGGGGATGGTAGTCCTCTTTGAACGAGTGCGCAGCTTCGTAGACCTCCTTTGAAGAAAGCAGCTCTGTAAAAGGCCTCAAACATCAGGTGTTGTATGGTTCTAGACCATTCTGTGTGGTATTTATGCCCTCAGGCCCAGAGAACTCTGATTTGTCCACACAATCCACTGTATACCAGCAGAGAGTGGGTGTCCTCAGACCAAGTCAAAGCAAGCTTGTCCAGAGGACTAACTCAGAACAGACAGCAGGGAGGAAAAAAGGTAGTTCAACGGCTGGATTGCCCAAGGTCAGGACTCAGGCTTGAGCAGCACGTAATCCAACAAGGTTATGTGCAGCAGGAGTATGCCACGTCACTGCTCGAAAGAGAATATACAAACTTGAGTGCCGTCGTGTACATTCTTTTATGCTTTCCCAGCATCCATGGTCCACTTTCTCCTTCCATCAGCCCCCAAAATCCCTTTTGGGGATTCATGTGGTTCCAGAGAAACTGCCTCCATCAGTGTACTCTGTCCCTTGGCCACAATGATTGGCTCAGGGCTGGGCCTGTGACCAGAGCCAGTCCAAGCCGAGTGACTCTCAGGGCTCTGGCTGGGAATGCTGGGACCAGAACCACCTTTCCTCCCTGATGGGCATAACGAAGGAAGTACATCGCCCCAGGATATCTGTCATCCATCCTGGGGCTGCGAAAGGAGCCGGCCTTTGGTGAAAACAGCACTGCATAAGACAGAATAGAGAGATGGAAAGAAACCAGACCCTTGCTGATGGGTCAAGCCTCACCCTATGCCAGGCCTAATTCCGTGCTTTTCCATGAGATGAGACAGTAAATCCCCTTTGTTGTTTAAGCCAGCTTGTGTTGGCGTTTCTATTCTTTGCAAGTGAAAGTATCTGCACTAATCCAAATGTATATCACTTTGGCCGGTGCGGTAAAATGAGAAGGCAGAGTCCAAGCTGAGATCACATTCCCCGAAACTGGCAGCTCCATCTCACACAAAACTCACGCTTTATTCAGCTAAAGAACAAACTCCCTCTGCCCCGTACCCCTGTGGGAAACTCCTACTCACTCGTCAAGGCCTAGCTCAAATGTCCCTTCCTCCCTCTGAGACGACACCCAGGCAAAATTAATCACTTCCTTCTGTTTTATTTTTTATTCCCATAGAAGCATATTACTCATTCTTTTACATAACTATAGACACACAGCAATTACACTGCTCAAGAGCAGAGAACACGTCTTCTGCATCCCTCCCATATGCATGAAGCCAGCCTGAGCACACAAGCGTGCCGCACACCCCAGGCCGCGTGGCCTCTGACAAATCACACAGTATTCTGACTCTGCTTATTCTCCTGCAAAAAGGGCTACCTGTGCATCTCCTAGGGTTGTTGGAAAGATGTGACAATGTTTATAGAGCACACACACAGTGGCCTGGGACAAAGCAAGTAATCAATAATAGGCAGGTATAGGTATTTCATAAAAATGTGTTAAACTAATAAAATTAAGTAGTTCAAATAGTAAAACTGATGGACAGATAGGTAGGTAAGTAGATAGATAGACAGACAGACAGTTGACAGATAGATAATTTCTTAAATCTCCAATAGCTATCAGCTCTCAACTGATGGCCAAAAATTAATATTAATCATATTGGGTAGAAGTGATGTGTTAATTCTGTAGTTGGGGAAGAATTATGGGTACAGAGCTTGCTAGATCCAAGTTGGCAAATTAGGCTCTGAGTGCCTTTCCAGTATCTAGGAGCAAGATGGCGGAGGGCTGTGCCAACAACTGAGGTACTCCACAGGCAGCCCAATGTTGGACACTGCCTAACAGGATCAGTGCGCAAACAGGGATCATCCCAGGACTGGCCCCTCAGATCTACCTGACAAGTCATACCACAGTGGATAACCATCGTCTTTACTTGCCCAGCATCCACTGTCCCCTCTGGTAATACAACTATCCCTCACTCTCAGTCCCCGTGGTTCAGCAAGGGCCCCACGTCCCCCCTCAGCTCCAGCAGTGGGGGTCCACCAGGTTTACCCAGTGAGGGCAGCAGCCCCATCTTCCTGGCCATAGTAATGGGTTCAGAAACAAGCATGTAAACCAATTTGTTTCAATGATAGTTAGTTCTGGAACTTTTGTTGCAACTTCTGTATGTGCAAGAGAAGTTGTCTTTCCTCTGAGCAGTAAGAGTAAGGAGTGAATATGACATGCATTTGATTCTGTTGCAGGAGCCCACACCGAGAAAAGTATAAAACCAACACAGAGGCAGAGGTGCGAGAAGGAAGGAGAAATGGAGTGAACCAGTGAGAACAAGGGACTTAGAGACATCATTCAAGTGTCTGGAGTCAGGTGAACGGAAGGCCAAACCTAACTTCTAGGCTTTACGGTTGCCAGAGTAATCAAATCCCTCCCCATTTTTTTCTTTTATTTTTTGTTTTTGTTTTTAGTTTTGTTTGTGCTTAAGTAACTTGATCCAGATTTCTCTCATTTGCATAGAAAAAATCCCAGATGATGCTGCGCTCACGCTGGGGAGGCTTTCCATCCCTTAACAGATTCTGGCTTTGCACCCTGACACCTTTGGGCTTTGGGAGAGTCCAGAAGAGGGTCTGCTTGGCTTTGCTCAGGTGGAGCCCATTGAAAAGGAGAGATGATCAACTTAACCTCAATTTCAAAATCTGGTCTTGTGAATTCCACTCAGCACTTCTTCTCCTCCTCTATTCCCCGGGTTTCTCTCTAGCTGAATAAAGAATCATTTTTTAAGTAAACCTCTTCATTGCTTATTCAGCAGGGCTTTCCTCTTTATTTGCAATATGTGATTTATTTATAAAATTAAAATCCCCATGAGATGCAGTTATTTAAATTAAGGGAAAGGCTGGCATTTCTTAGACTTTCATTTCCTGTATCCAAACAAATGTTTTATAGATTCCAGAAACTTCCACAGTTATGAAGAAGGCCCTCAGTTTTACTGCTGGTTTCAAAGTCTCTCCGTTACTTGAAACAACATGAGAAGGATTTGTTACAAATACAATCTGGAGAAATGCAGAAAGAGCAACCTAGGAATTCAAATGTCAGCTTAAGAAAGGAAAAAAGGGTCCAAGAGATAAAAAGTAAGATGAGGTGAAGCAGTCTGGGGTCTGTCTCTGCAACATTAACTCACAAAATCAGCTTAGTGTCAGAGGGAGCTTAAGGATGATCTGATCCAGGATGTAAAGAAATGTTTTAGTTCCTGATGCCTTTTTCCAAATAAAATATTTAAGCACAAGCACAGCATAAAGAAGGAGCTATAAGGAGAAGAGCTCTTTCAAAGAGGTGGGGCATCTAGAGTGGAGCAGTGAGGATCAGCTGAGAAGCAGCCCCCAGGACTCCCTGCAGCCCAGCCAACAATCACAGAACTGTGCTGCCTCCACACTGGTCTCCATTGTCCCAGATGATGTGACATGTGACGACACTAATCAGATGTTCTTCTAGGAAGCTCTCAGGATGAGACCCGTCTTCTCCAACCAGGACCTTTCATAAGCATATGCGATAAAGAGTAGGACCCATCTTACTGACTTTCTGTAGGAGATCTGGCTAAACACAGTTAACAGTCTCCTTCCCCACTTTCTCACGTCCAACCACCAGAGCAGGATGTTACCTATGAACCCATATCTCCCCCATCCTCCCATCTGGGACATGGCACCACTACACTTCCTAGGACCTAATAACTGATTGTGCCCCCTCTCCTTCTGGACTCGCCTCTTCTTTTTCCTCTCAAAGGCCCCAAGGGCTTGCCCCTCCAGCATCTTTCCCGAGGCCACCCTCTTCTTCCAGAAGCCTGCCAAGGAGAAGGATATCCACTACTACCCCTTCACTCAATCCAGCCTTCTCCAAAACAAGTCCATAAATACCTTTCAGAGTTATAACTACTACACTCACCAGGAGGGAGTGACAAAGTGTCAAAAACTAAGATGGTTTTATGAAGAAAGAGGAAATGTTCTACAAGGTAGTAAAATAGTTGCAAGACCTTCATACAACTGTTCATGAATGTACACCTGCTTCTTCTCTTCTGATCCCACCACTTCCATCCTTCTCTTCATCTAAGAGTTGCTTCATCTAAGTCTTGCTTTAGAAACCATCCTCAGTCAAGCCTTCCCTCTCTAATAATATACGCAGAGCATCTTCAATTCCCCCTTAATACTAAAAGTAAGCCCCATTTTTGGTGTGTGCCCGCACCACTTCCCCAAGCTCTCGCTCCTGAAGACAGCAGGGACCACGTGAGGCTCCTCCTATAGGAAGTCTCATTCATATCCCAAAGGAGGTGATGTTCTGGCTGCTTTTTCCCACTGTGTCCGTGATCAACCATCCGAGCCCTATCCCCACCCAGAGAGGCAGAGATGTGTTCACTCCCCAGCAGGTGCTTACAATCTGCAACTCTGCAGTGAGACCCTCCTTCGCATCTCCTAGGCACCAATCCTCTTGCTCAAGTCAGCTGGGCATCACGGCACACACAGGTACCACTGGTTCTGTATCTGCAGCGTGAGAGTGTGGGCTGGCAGGGAGGTGCAGGAAGGTGGTGCCAACAGGAGGAAGGGCGGACCACAGGACAAGGAAACAAGGGTGTGGTGTCAGAGCCAGGGTGCCAGTGCCCAAGCAGCTGCTGCTGCTGCGTGTGTGTTTAGACGGGAGCTGCCTATTTGCATGTGGCATCTGTCAAGGCACTGTGAGGATGACAGATGTCTCTCTGCTCCAGGAATAAACAACACAGCTCTGTGGGGGTGTCAAGAACAGCCTCCGCCAAACCAGACTGGAGAGGTGCAATTCTCTGGGAATAATTGGAAGATAGCCGTGAAGGAATCCAGAATCTACCACACACCTGCTTCCCTAAAAAAAAACGTGTTCTCGTTATGAAACCTTTCAAGGAGGCTCCAACTTCAGGAACTAGTGTCTGTGAACCTGGGTGGCCTCATTCATGATTCAATGAACCACTCATTCAAGAAAGACTTGCAGAGTGTCCAGGAAAGGGCCCCTTAAATACTCAACCTCCAAGGGAGCTCCCACGGGG